TCAATATAATTTTGATTTTCACCTATTTCTAGAGTACTAGTGACTCCCATAGTTCCATATTTATCTTAATATACAATTTCAACCTCAACCACGTATAAAAGTGGCAGTTAATTATTTTTAAAATTTTTTATTATTCATTGTAGTATAAAAAATAAAACACTATTATAAACGATGAAATGTAAATATGCAATGAAAATACCAATAATATAAATAATATTTTGTTTTAATAAATAAAGCGAACTAATTTATGTTTAGTTCGTTTTTTTAATATTAAGTCGGAAGTTTATTTCATATTTTTAGAAAATGGGCAGAGCTAGAATTTGATATAAATATTTATTTAAATGAATTCATCGATTGGTTGTTTAAACAAGAGATTGATTTGTAATTTCTTAGAATTTTATCATTTTTTGCTCTCTTGTCATTATAAATGTATTTATATTTCTTAGTATTTGACATTAAAATTATGATATATATTTCTTCCCACTATCTCGAACTTATTTAGGTAGGATATTAACATAAATTTGCATGTCGACTATAGAAATCTGTACGTTATATATTTATTAAAATAAAAATCTTTAAATGATAGTTTGTTTTTTTTTTAGCAATGTTTATAAAATTCATAAATTATAAATTTATATAAACTTTATACCTACTAAAATACCATTGAGAGCTTGGGAATAAAGTTCTCTGGAACTCAATCTCCGAATTTTTTTTACATATGTTTTTTTATTGTTAGTAAAGCCATATAAATTCATATGATTGGTACAAATAACTAAATACATTTGTCCTAACTATTAGCTATACGATAATACCTTTAAACGTTTATTATAGAAAATATTATGCTGAAATAGAATAATATGAGACTAAAAGTATACATTTTTCAAGTATGTAGTTAACTTTATATGAGTCTTATTTAGTTACGGATCAATATTGTAATAATTTATTTAGCACGTTATTTAATTTCCGATGGACTTCATAACTATTGTATTGGCATGACACATAAAGCATAAAACAGTGTCCATTTCATACATTGACATAAGGAGAGTTAAAATTTATTTTGTATTAAGGCTGAGTTATAAAATATTTAATAATGCACATTTTAATTTTAATCAGTTTCTTGCCATGCATGATTTTAGATTATAAAATAAATTGCTTAAAACAAGATAGTTGAAAATAAATTCTTTATTTAATACTCTAATGCCGTTTTAAAATGTTAAGTTTAAAGATTATAATTATTTTATATTATATCACGTTATTATTCTTATATTTTGCTTTTGGTATTTCAACTATTTTTAATCGTAGTCAAATAATAATAGCTAGTGATATTCTATTTAAGTTGTAGTTTGATGAATTTTAAATAATAATTTATTAATTATATAATTAATAGTATGCAAATTCTCAATCAATAATAATTCATTTGTCTTAAGATGTAGCTTATCAAAATTTGGTTTTTAATAATTGCACTTACGACCTTAAATTCTCTTATACTTTATTAATATTTAATAAAAATCAGTTGTATAGTACTAGATACACTTTCAATAATTATTTTTATTAAAAATACAAATTGATTACTTATATGTAATTTTATATCAAATTCAAATTAATTATTTATAATTACAKATTTAACTTATGTGTATTTATATTGAACTTAAACTTTATTAAAATCAAAATAAAATATTAGTGTCTATTATTATTAATTTAATAAGAATACATCATTAATTTTTATTTATGTACAATGTGAATGATAGTTGGAGTTATAAAATTAACACAATATACATATAACATTTGTAGAGAAAATAAAATTATGTAATGGCGTACATTTATTTAATATTATCTAGACATGTGGTTAAACATTATTTCATTACTTCGCATAAAACTTTGTGTTAATAATACATTTTGGTAGAATTATCCTGAGGATAGTTAAATAATAATTGAATATTTAAGTGTCAAGGTAGGTACTTATATTATATAGATGTGACAACATCGTATAAATGTATGTATCACATAATAATTTAGTACCTATTATATTTGAAAGTGGATGAAAAAGTGACTAATTTAAATGTCAGTTTTTAATATAAAATTGTTTATGAGAAATTAATTAAATGTTTGCATTTCTAATAAAATGTTTTTTTAATCTTCACATAATTGAATTATAGGTTATACGTTATTAAATTATTATGTATAGAATAATTATTATGTTTATACAAAATTCTACTTAAATATAAATACTGTACAATGGGATTTCAATTCTTTTTTACATTTTATCGGACATTAGTAGGTTTATTTTGTTATACTGAATTACAGATTAATAGTTATTGTATTTAATTATTATTTTTTTACATACCTAAAATTATACAAATTCTTATGAAAAAAGTTTATTTTATTTTATMGTATCTTTATCAGATCCCGTCGGCCGTCAGCATTTTATTCAATGGAATATGTATTCATCATATACAGAAACATTTAAGTATAGTAGTTCAGAATAAAATAATACCGGATTCGGCAACGCTATAAAGTTTACTTTTTGTCAAAAAGCTGAAATAAAAAAGGTTCAAATAAGCCATTTTATATGCAGGGAGACGCAGTGTACATTGATAAATATTTAAATAAATTCTCTTAAATCAAAAACAAATATTTTTTGGTGTACAATATGATAAGATCACATTGATAAACTGAATGTATTGAATATTAATGTATGCATAATATTTATAATCGATCGTTTTCTTAATCTTGTGTGTGGCAAGATTTATCAGGATTATTCTACAATACATTCATTGTGTTTATATTTTAAAAGTGCCAATTTATCGTGTAATTGAGTTTATTTTAAACATAATATTATAATCATATTCAGTTTTTGTAATGCATAATAGCACTACAAATCATGGACGAAAGCAGACAAATTATTTCTCTAGATGAACGATAGTGGTGAATATTTATTTTAAACGGTGATTTACAATGCACGATTCATGGCCAGAATTGGCATACTTACCCTCGACAATACACGTAGGAAAAATTCGAATCAGTATACAGATATTACAAATATTACATAAGATATTGACGAGTTCGGGGACAGAATTTTTTTTTGTAGGAGGGGGGTTTGTTGTTTGAACGAGTTGCTTTGCATACATTCATGTTTATAAGTATTCAAAAACATTTGATTCACATACAATTAGTTATATTTGTGTATTTATAATTATTCATTCTCATCGAATGTATTGATATATTAAAAAACATATAGTGTGAGTCTTGCTATTTATCTTATTGAGTTGTAATAATTGTGGTATGAAGAACAAACTAACGCAACAAAAGCTATGGTTACAGCAAAAAACATGATGGTCTACTGTCTAACCGAGTTTGTGATTTTACATAACTACAATTTATTACATTGTTTTTTTTTTTAACTAGCTCTTAACTATGCTTTAAACAAATTAAACCTTATATAATTTTTAAAATTCTAAATAAAATGTAATAAATTAAAATATTTCTATTTGTAGAACTTAGATTTTTATGTAACTCATGAACAAAAATTAATTTTGTTTTTTTTATTTAGTGTAACTAGGTGTAGCTAAGAAGTAAGAAATAGGTACGTAAAATGTTATTAACAACAAATGATGCGGTTACTACGAAAACAGTTATAATTAAAAATAACAATATCTCAACAAGTCATTTAAATTATTTATCATGCGGTTATATCTTAGAAAAGGATTTTTTAAAGTGGGTAGTTACATTTAATTAATTAAGAAACTGTAAACTTAATCATCAAAGTTGAATTGATGGAGTTTAATGATAGCTAGATAGCTAATGAATGGAGTTTTAAAAATTATTCAATTTTATGGTAATCATCTTATCCGCCTGTCGTTTAATTTGAAAAATGCTTTGTTATCGAACAAATTGCAGTAGGAACGTGTGAAAACGTCCAAAGCATGATATTCAATGAATTGTGCTTTATTTGATTAATATACTTATTCGTGGTAACTTTAACTTATTAATCTAAATATGGTATAACAGTTAATACTTATCCACATTTGTTATTATGAGTATTGAATAAGTGCCAATAACATGAACTATCTTTATACAATTTTTAACTTACGGATATCTGAAAAACTATGCAATCAAAATATTTTTGGCAATGGTTAGCAATAGTTGGCAGAAAAGTATTTTGTGAAACCGTTAAAATTACTAAATAGGGTTTCAAGTAGGTAGATAATTTATTTCATTAATGAACCAACTGTATATTTTAAATAGTAACTATTAAGCACATTGCATAATATATAAATTTATATAGTTGTCGAGAACATATTAAGTATATAATATGTTATGTGCAGTTAATGAAATTGTATAAAATATATTATGTTTGATAAAAAAAAAGAAATTGCTGATGACTTGAATATTAGACCATATGATGGTCGAATGTTAAACATTTATTTTTAAATGTTGTATACCTAATTGGTAGTGAAAATTTAATGAATCATTAAAGTTTTAAAGTTTTATTCAAATAAAATATAATCATACATTTTATAATAATTTGTTATTGMATTTTCGATTGAAGAATGATAAATTTACCATGGCCTAATAAAGTCGTAGTTTTTTTTGCTACCATTTTTATTTAGGCGCACRTTGATTTTTAATCATTTTTGATATACGAAGATACATGCCTCATTCTCAGTGCCGTAACTAGGCATTGGGCAAGGTGGGCGGTGGCCAAGGGCGCAGTTTAAAATGATCGCGCTAGGGGCGTAATTTTTATTTCATATAATAAATACTAAAAATTCATTATTAATTTATAACATTAGTTGCCAAGGGCGCACATAAAGCTAGTTACGGCACTGCTCATTCTCTAGACAGTTTTCTGTCTAACAAGGGACATACYATGCCATGACTGTGTTTGGAGGTGTCACTTTTATCCAATCGGCCACCCTTTGGTTATAGTGTTCATTCAACATTGTGGAATTTTATTCATACATGAATAATAAAATTAATGATTTTGAATTATGTTTTAGGTGGTTTTTACTTTGATATCTACTCTTCGGTTGGTAAGTACATTTCGATTATACAGCTTTTAAAATTTTTAGAAAATGGATTTTGATTAAATTTCTTTTGGAAACAATATTCCATTAATATTTTATTGGAAGCTACTGGTAAATTAACCATAACAAAATATACAGCCATTACCTATATGGTATACTTTTTCAATCATTAGATGCATACTTTGTACACGTTTGAATGTTTAATAGTATATTAATTAATGTAAATGATTAATTTATTAGTCTAACAAAACACTATATTATTCGTGAGTTAGGTAGTTCAATTGTTTGAATAATAATAATTTAGAACAATTTAAATTGAATTACCAATAATATGGTTATATGATTATAACTTACTCCTTGAGTGATGGATTTATTATCATTTTCATATTGTTTTGATAAAATTATACCAGAAACATGATATAAATCATCCAAAGTAAAATTAAATATAAAATGTGAATCAAAAATTCTACATACATTTTATTTCAAATACAAGCCAAAATATCATCACTGGAATAAGGTTTCATTAAGTAAGTCATAAAAAAAAGTAAACCTATACAGAAATTAGATGGTATATATTTTTAAAATAAAATAAATACAATATTTAATTGTAATTATGTTTAAATGTAAAATACATTAAAATAAATAATGTTTGTAAAATGCAATATTTAGAATCTGAGCTTAACTATAAACCGGTTGGTCTATATGAATATGTATCTTAATAATAATAAAAAAAAAATCATTCCATTATATTATATTARGAATTCTACAAGTCATATGTATGATTTGAAAGCTATTATGTAAATATATAATACAAACATACTAGAAAAATTCAAACTACAAAATTATAAAGTGTACATATAAAAAAAAACCAATTTATTTTATCGAAAGCGTTGACAATGATGGCAAATTAAATTATTATTATAATTATTACACATATTTAACGAATTTTAAAAGATTTGTGTGACGTATGATTTAATTGTTTTTTTTTCATGAGCACTTATAATTTGAATAATAAAAACTTTAGTAAAMAGCTTTACTCTATAATAGATGTTTGTTAATCTTCAGAGATATATTCATTTAAAACTTTTGAAGTCATATACAAAAGTCTTAATAGTAAGTAAATATTTTTTATTATACAACATAAGTTAGTAGTATGTACATTGAAATTATTTGATCCCCAAACCAGATACTTCGAGAACAATGACATCCTTGGGTATTGTTGTCAAGATTTCAATCTTTTTTAAGTACTGTTCATCAGTTCTTAAACATAAAACATAAATTATTGCAGTAAAATTAAGAAATAATACTTTTATAGTGGTTAGAACAGTTGCAATTGTTAATATATAATAACTTTTCTGTCTGTAACGCTATTGCCYAAAAACATTAAATTTCTTATTATAATTGTTTAACATACTACGAATATTTATCTTGTACTGATTTAACAACGCTTTGTATGAAAATATATTGTTCAACTCTAAATAAAACACATGTATAACAAGTTTTTTTCAGACAAATAAAATGTATATTGTAGCAAAAAAATTATATATGGAATATAGGCCAGTCTTTTATAAACTTTTTTTAATGAATAAATTCTTAATTTCCTAAAGTTTTTGAGTAAAATATATTGAAGTATGGAAACCAATCAACAGGGAATCTTTAACACAATTTAACGTTTCATAAATATCTTCAATTTTTGACGAAATATTAAAGGATTCCAAAATAAAGATAGGTATATCAAAATATTTTTTTACCAACGTGAAATGTTATGTCATGATTTTTTCAACTTTAGGATTTGAAAAACTTGGAATATTCTAAGTAATAAAATATTTTGACCACAGTTTTAGTAGCTAATATTATTGAAATTGATAATAAAAAATGTTTCACCATTTCCGCATGAATCTACTTGGTATATTTTTAGGAAATTTACCCATGATTAATTTCTATTTTCAAATCATGCAATATTATAATACTGATCAATTTATTGATCTTTGAGCAATACTTTAGTGTAAAAATATATCCTATCACCATGATTAAAACAATAATAGTATCCAAAATGTTATCATAATAGAGGGAGAGAGAGAGAGAGAAAGAGAGAGAGAGAGAGAGAGAGAGAGAGAGAGAGAGAGAGAGAGAGCTAAGTTAGAATATCATTAAGTTGTATCTAAATCAATAGCGAGTATCACATTTTATTGAAGTTGGTCAGAACTATATGTCTGTTTTCGTATGCATGAGTTTTTATACCAATGACCAGATTCTTTTCCACGTTTGATCATTTTCGTGCTACAACAAATAACGATGCGCCCACCAGTAGTAGTTTTTGCATAAGCGTGAGAGATTTGTAGCAATGGTAGGAAGGACTGCTGCATAACACACACTTTAATGATCATTTATATTCCACACGCACGCACAAGTAAATATAATATATAGCCTTTATTTAACTCATTAAAAGTAGTGCGCWTCAACTCTCTTAAATTGTAGGTATTGTTAAGAATTAAACTTTATTYTGATTCAAATTAAGATAAATATATGATATAATTTAAATAAAAATATCTGTTGCACTAATAATTACTAATTATTTATATGTGTCCAACAGTCTTGAATTCAATAAATTTAAACTATTTTACGGTTCAACTAATGTATAATATATGGTAGATGGTAGTTTGAATTTTTAATTACTATTCATTAAAACTTTAAAGGAGATCGTCTAAATTGTATTCTTGTAGACATAACAACAGTTTGTACATTTTTATACTGACTAATAACTTTTTCTTTTTAATCTTATGAAAAAGAGTGATCTAGAAAACGCTTTTAAATTTATCCTGAACTTTTTTAACGCTAAAATGTCAAAAACAAATTACATTTTTTTTTTTTGAAAATTATAGAAACTTCGTTCACAAGTCCCTCAATAAATTCAATTAGCATTAAATCTTTTTACAAGTCATTACATTTTCTTTTAAAAATGTGAATGATGATGGATATTAGTCACTTTGAATATAAAATTATTTCAAGATGTCTAAAAAGTTATTTGTCTTGGACGATGATCAAATACAATAAAATAATAAAAATATAAGATTACTAAAAGTTAACATTCAAGGATTAAAAAAATTGTAATATTGTATATTTTGATTTAAAAACACTAAGAAAATTGTATAAAATATATATTATTATTATTAATGTGCTTAACACATGAATTGGTATAACATTCATAAAATTTTGTAATTTTTGTAAAATCAATTTATTGAAAAATTAGATATTGTACTTATGAAATAATTTATCACTGATAAATGTATTTCTGATACAGATATGGTTTCCAATATTGAATTTGATCATCTAAACTAATTTATGATTTTTCTTTACTATTTTTAGTTGAAATATTATTATATTGATTTTATGATTAAATTTTAATACATTTTTTTAATTTTCGTTAAAACTTGAACTCACTTAGGTTTGAACGTGATTGTGAGTAGGATTGGTCTAGTCGATGCGACACCATTTGGTGGTGATACCGTGAACACTTCGTCTACGGAGTGAGCAACAAAACGTTCATGGCCTATAGACAAAATCAAAAAATTGTTTAAGCGAACACCATTTGGCGATAAGCTCACAGACGATTTGATGTCCAACAAGGCGGAAATCGGGTCGACAAAAGTTAATCTATACGTTTATTATTTCACGTCTTGTGAGTCTGTGTGAGTATATATGCGTGTACCTGGATAAGAAGATAACATCACGTTTATGCTTTTATTCTCCGTTACGACTACTTGACCAAAATTTATGTGGCTCGTCGACAGTTTTAGTACAGGGAAGTATACGTGCAGTTTGAATGTAGCAACTGTCTAAACAAAAGACTATAATATCATGTACCATGAATAATAATATTAATTAAATTGATAAATCGGTAGCAATTTTTTACATTAGAATAATATACATATTTCCTTATATTTTTAATATGCAATTAGTTCCTAGAAGAAATGTGTTAAAGATAAGTTTTTTCTCATTTTTCTTTTAATCAAAAATTAGTAAACTACGAAAAAAATATAATAAATAGTAACTGTAGTACATAAAATATAAATTAGTATTTAATTATATTAATATGACCCTCGAGTGTTAAAGTGTGGTTAGTTAATGTTTTTTAGTAGAAATATAAAATATTTATAATCATTGTACAAATAACTTTATATTCTATAATATATAAGTGGTCTTATTTTATTATTTTTATTAGTTAGTTTATAAATTTAATAAAAGATCTTTAGTTATCTCTTWACCTACCATGCTACATAGATGAAATAAATAATATAGGTAGGTAACTACAAAAATGGTTTTTAGGAAAACTCATTTATTACACGTTCATAAATAATATATGCTCATGTATATCAATATAATACCATATTATGGTAAACCATTATATTTTGAAACCATGCAGGTCAAAATTCAACCTTTACCAGATGCTTTTTATGCAGTTATATAGGATGGTAATCCGGGAAACATTCTACTGTTTTGGGAAATAGGTAATAGCTTTAAATTGAATTTTGTATCGGATATTACGAAAATATCATTTTACTATAAATATAATATAGTCCAGGATTTAACGTAAATGTTTCTATACAAGTTCAAACTTTCAAAAAATCAAATAGGTACGTAAATCCTATAGAGTTGAACCTACTGATATTTTGTAATAATTTATGTACCCCAGAGATCATAATACATAAAGAATACTTGATATGGGTTAAACTTAACGAGTGACAGTTTTTTTTAGTGTCCCTTGAAAGCAAATTATATAATAAATCATTAAACTATTTGTGGAATTAATATTTATCGCAATTTGCACTAGACATTTTAAATACTTTATAAATAAGTTAAATGTTTAATATTCCAAATTCAATTATGAATAAAACATATAACTCCTTATTTAACTTAAATACTTAAGATAATAAATTTACCTATTTTATTGTTTTATTCATTAAAGATTTATTTAGTTTTTTAAAAAAGACAAAGAAAATTTTATT